CACAAAAGATCAAAAAGACCAAATAGAAATATTCTTTTTAAAAAAAACACTGGAACATGTGAGTAAAATGGAAAGTAAACAACTCTTGTCTTAAATATGCCTATTTAACTTTGAGTGTAATTACCTAATGGCCATTTTTAGCTGACGGAAATCTGCAGGACATTGCACAGCTTGTTGAGGCTGGCCAATAGGCTAAAACATACCGCTTTAAATAAAGTAAATCAGAGCTACTGAGTGTTTAAAACTAATCTGTTTACAAACCAGCACAGCTGGACAGGCCTTAGCAACTTCCTATTAAAGAAAAGAATCCGCTTTTATGGGCATCTGGTTGTTTCTGAAAGGGCAGTTTAACCTTGTACTGCTGCTTCAAAGAAAGATCAAAAGCATTTATTACTTCTTTTCAGGACCTAATGACCAATATATTAAACTTTTTGGTACCATGTTTGTATGACATTTTTCTGTATGTTCAATTACGTGCGTAATTTTTAAGGTAAAGACTGTAGTATAAATTTAAAGTATGCAATCTAAATTGCTAGAAACCTTTGCCAGAGTTAGAATTGTTTAAAAATTGACCTAAACTAAGTTATCTTTCATCTCTGAATCAGACTACTGTAGCAAAAGAGAATTCAACATTTAATAGCCCAGAGTCTTGGTTTTGTGCATATTTATTTTATGAAATGAATATCTCATCTCTCATCTCGTATTTAAGAATCTTTTAGATTATTTTAGAATCTAAAAGCTTCCTTCATGTGTACTTGCTTGGTCCAAGATCTTTATCTCTATATAATAATGCGCCTGGAATCTGGACTGCTCTTTGTTTCACGATATGTTTTTTCTGCTCCTTTCTCTTTCAAGAAACTATATCAGAATTGAGTTGTATGATGTCCTGAGATCCTGCTGATGACAGGAACTCAATTTAATTGATCCAAGGCAAGTAACTGGAAAGTAATTATGATTCACACTAGACAATATTGGGCTAAATTGGCAAATAGCCAGACTATCATAAAGCAAATTATACTATAATGCTGTGAAGTTCAAATATTCTCCACCACCCAGTTAAGAAGCTCATTTCAACCATTTCATTTCACCTTGAGGTTGAAGTTCAATTTAACTTAGATTCATATCAACTTGAATGTGATGTCCTTCCTGATTGAAACATATATGAAATTGGGTTGAAATGAAAACAAGCATTACTACTGTAACAATCTGAAAAAGAGTTATTGTTATTCAAGGCACTTACAACTGCTGGTTCTATGGATACAGTATACGATTTTTTAAAAAGATATGAAACTCAATTTGCACTGTCCAGTACTGCTTAATGACACTTAGCGTGAAATATAGCAGAACCATGTGTGTGTGTGTGTGTACACATTTGCACATTTTATACTGATCTGGTATCTAGATTTTCCAAGTATGATTACAAGAAAAAGGAAACCAATGCCAAGTCCTGCAAATATTGTATATTTCCCCGCTTCCCCACACTAAATTGCATTGCAGTGTAGGTGAAGAAGCATAATTCTGGTTTTTCATAATTGTGAAAAAAAATCAGAGAAATACTAATATCAAAATATTGCTGAATCATATGCAAACATAACTTATCATGCAATCCTTGTGGGAAGTTTATTTAATGATACATTATTCACAAATGACATCTCTACTGAAAAAGAAAAAAGACAAAAACTTGCTCTAACTCATATCAGAACAAGTTTTCCCATGTATCTTTTTATTTTCCTTTGAGGGGTCAGAGATAATTTCTTAACAAGTTCTCACTGATCTTTCCATTCTTTTGGCTCACAGCAGATTGAGTATCAGCCATTTCCCTGCCTGTCAGAGCTCCCCTTGTCTGTTTAGTCATATAATATGCAAAACAGTCAGATAAACAAATGTCAGCTCAAGTGGAAACCTGGAGAGCTACATTAGGTCATAAAAGCAGAATTTAACCAACCACCAGGGCCCTGGCAATAAAACTACAAAAACCACACTGTGCTGCCAAAAACAGAGCCTCAGGGGGCTTCTGTCAAATCTGGACATATTGGCACAAGGATTTGGTATCTCAGATTGCAGTCCTAGTTGGAAAGACTTTTTTCTTTTTCTGTCTGATTCACAGAATAGCCCACGTGTGTTCTCTTGCAGTAAAGAAAAAAAATAGTAAGGATCAGTTTTCTTTGTTTCAGTAGAGCGAGAGATGTAGTCTCAAAAAAGTGGGTTTTTTAAAAGTACCCTTCTATATATGCTTTAAATCTTACATACTGTTTTTAAAGAGATTACTCCTAGATAAGCAGAACAGAATTGTAGTCTTATTTTATAAAAGTCCCAGAATATATAACTTTCTAATATATGTAATCCTTGATTTATAATCATTCATTTAATGACTGTTTGAAGTAACCACAGCACTGAAAAAAGTAACTCACGACCATTTTTCACACTTTTTATTATCAACATTTTATTATCCCCATAGTCAGTTATGTGATCCAAATTCAGACGTTGGGCAACTGGCTCATATTTACGATGGCTGCAGTGTCCTGGGGTCATATGATCCCTTTTTCAATCTTTTGATGAGCAAAGTCAATGGGGAAGCCATTATCAATCATGTTACTAACTAAACAAGTGCAGCGATACTTAACAAGAAAGTGTGGCAAGTGTGGCAAGAAAGATCGTAAAATGAGACAAAAGTCACTTAACAACCGTCTTACCTAGCAACAGAAATTTGGGTTCAATTAGTTGAGGACTACCTGTATAACATTAATTGTTTATGAATAACCATTCATGTTAAAATGAATGAAAATCATTATTAAAGCTGTATAAAGTACATAAATTTAAAATATAGACTTTATGCACAGGAAACATATATTTTGTTTGTATTGAATTAGAATTTGGGAATGTTTACTTTTAGATATGAAATTATTCTGAACAACAAAGTATATTTTGAAAGCTTGGTTGTCCATTCTTCCATAGAGTACATTAAACGTTCTTTTCAGTAAGAGATATATAGTATTAATGCAACAAAGCCAATAATTTAATGTTTAAGAAAAATTTAATTAAAATAATACAAGTTGAAATGGAACCTGAAATTGATTCATTCTGGCACGAATCATTTTCCAAAACTGAGCTTTACAATATTGCTTCAAAGTATGAAGGAATGATCTAACCTGCTAGTTACATTTCTAATATTTAGATAATGAATTATTTGTTTTAGCAATATAATAATGAATGTATTAATATAACGAGAGATCTTACTGTGTTTGCCCAAAAATAAGGCCGGGTCTTATATTAATTTTTGTTCCAAAAGACGCATTAGGTCTTATTTTCAGGGAAATACCATTCTAAATGCATCCGTCTGGCTGACAATCTTAACTGAGGCTTATTTTCGGGGAAGGGCTTATATTTCAAGCACCCTGAAAAATCATGATAGGGCTTATTTTCAGGGAAATAGGGTATTTCAATTTACTTTAAATATCACATTTGGACTATTCTTCTTCAACTGAAATTCCAGTTGCTGCATATCTGTTATTGCATCTAAATTCTTTATCCATGCAATCATACAATTTTTGACTTTTTGGTTTCCAAATCATACACTATCAACAATTTATAAATAAGACTCAGCAGATGTTCTAAGTTACAGGTTATAAGATTTTCAAATCTAATACTTTTATTATGTTGTTTATTTGAAGATAATGAAACCAGTCAGTTGAACTAGACTATTGTGTCTCAAAAGACACAATGGTCTAGTTATTAACAATCAAATCTTGCAATCTAACCTATTATATATCTACCGAGTAAATTTCTTTACAAAGCAGGGAAGAGGAAACATAGACTTATTTCTTTTCTTATATTTATCCTTGGCATTCAATACCTTCCTTATTATTTCATGATCTTTAATAGTTTCTCTTTGCATTAGATATATTTATGCAGGCTGCCTGAAAGTCACTGTTTACATAAAGGTAACCAAAGCATGGGATAATTATCTTTTCTATGCTGGCTTTCCCTTTTGAGAAATTGATTTAACAAGAACTTAAGCAACTTAATGATTTCTATGTAAAATTTTAATTGAATGGTGAAAATGTGAACTTTCTTTGATTATATACCATGTATTTTGGATTTGCTTTGTTTTATTTATTTCTTGATTTTGTTCAGTTACTATGATTTTAAAATTGTACAGCTTCCTTGCTAAATAATGCTATTTATCAAGTGTGGTTGATAGGTGGTTATCAATATCATGAATAGTTTGAAGTGCTGAAGCTGTTAAATTGTTGATACCTCATAAGAAATTCTCAAATAAGAACCACAACCACAATATTTAAGACAATTCCAATGATATACAGTACTTGGTATCTCTTGGTATCAGATTAGTTTGTTCCAAATTATATCTCTTCTCCACCTGAAATCTAAATGTAATTCACATGCAGATTTAGGTTTATTAAACTGTACTCTTAACTCTCCTGCAGGATATAGACCATATAATCCCTACCTTCATTTATAATCAGTCTCTTTTTTTCAGATGTTCAATAGTCATGTGAAACAAGAGAGTGACTGACTAAAGATCCTTTCTGGTTTTGAATTTGAATGAAATCTCCTTGATCTTCCCTCTATGTAATAGTTCCCCATATGTCATATTGAAAAAGCAAGAAAATATTTGCAGAGGTTTATTCTATTCCCAGATAATATAATCTTTCTCAACTCCAATGGAATGGTTGCTGTAATTCAGCAACTGATGAGTTCACCTTTATTTTCTGTAAGATTAGGTACATTTTCTAATTACTTGTTAGTTACTCACAAAAGCCTCGCTTTTTCTAGGAACTCAAGACTTAACAAGTAGACATAACTTAATTAACTCTGACTATGTTATATTATTTGCAAGATGAAGAGAAATGAAAAATCTTTTCTTTAATTCCATCTACGAAATTCAGTAGTCAAAGCATACTTTTTACCCTATATATCAAGAAATAAACAACATGGTTAAAGAAATTGCAGAAATAAGGACTAAGATTTGAAACCTTCAATATAGTTTTATATATTTAATAAATCATGTGCTTCTGTTATGATACAATTTATGATAAATTATAAAATCAGACACAAGAGTGATAAATCTATTACAGAAATGTTCTATTTTCTGAGTGGTAGCCATTTTAAGTATTAATTTCACAATTTAGTTTAGGTTTCAAAGAGCTGTGAAGAGATTAAAGTCATCCAGTACACATTTTTATAATATGACATGCTTAAAAAAAAACTTCAGAAACTAATTGCTCACAAAATGTATAAAACTTCAGACAGAAATAAAACCATATTCTCTACACTGGGATAAACAAGATGGCATCTCCAGATATTTAACATAACAATTCACACAATTTGAAACCACTATCATGCTCAAAACAATTCTGTTGCTTTATATTGTGGATTACAGCCCTTTTTTGTGACTGCCAGCCAACAGAATACTTTGCAAATTTTATCTGCTGATTTATTTAAAATTGCCATCTACACAAACTGTTTTCATAATTAAGCAATGACAAGGGGATTTTTTTTACATATTCCATTCCCCTTTAATTCTGCCTATAGGACCATATAAAACATTGTGTGATGTTATAAAGCACTGAAATATCATTTTTGTCCTAGCATTAGTTGGTGTTCATATATCTACACTAATATTTGGGCTTTTTCAGTTTTTGTCCACCTACTTTTTCTTTAGGTAGAACCTATTGCCACAAAACTGATGGTGTTTCAATTACTAAATCGTGCAATTGCATATATTGACCTGGGATGGGAACACAGAACAGAACTCAAAGAAATTTATGTGAGTAAACATCCCAATTTACTTATTAGTAGACATAAGACTAAAAAATTTTCATGTTAAACTGTTTAGCAACAAAATCTATGCTATGTAACTAACTGCAATTATCCCAACAAGGCTACATAGCCATTTCTTTTAATGAAACAATAATATATATCAGGATTTTTTTCTGGCTCTATTCCACCAAATGGCTTTGGAAAAAAATTTCAAACTCCAGAAAAAAAAAGTTGGAAAATGTTGACTGGAAGAAGACAAACTCTTAATCTACTATTTGTAGTTTTTGTTTTTTTTATCATACCACTGTAGAAAATTAAGCACTTAAAATTTATTTCACATTTATAGCTGATTGTGTAGAATGCCTAATTATAAAAAAAATAGAAACAATCCCACGTAGTGCTTGGGAAATGAAACCTAGTACTCCAATCTAGTAAGGAATCCACTCCATGAAAAGGAAGTCTTCTATCTCTGTTCTAAGTACCTTTAATTAACAGGCTGTATTTTCCCCCTATAGCCTTGTCTATCAAAATGAAAGAGGAAGCTTCACCCATTTCATATTTCTAGCATTCTTAGTTGGAACACTTTGACTGCTTACTGTCCAGTATGTTCTATGTGTTTATGTGCGGTCTTTATCAAATCTGCCCTATCATCTGTCAGATCTACAGAACCAGCAGAGAACTTTCTTCAGTCTTTTTGACTCTATATTTTAAATCACCCAGCAAATTTTCTGCTGCCGTATTGTTCATTTTGACCACACTTAAACCCTCACAAGAGTGATCTGAAATCAGTTGAATAATTATAGCTAATTATAAAAAGGATTATATAAAAATGTATTACTTCAGTTCTAGGACAAATACTAGTTTTAGGACTCATGGTGACAGTAACAAATATGGGGAACATGTTCTAAAGGGATCCAATTCTGTTGGTAATTCATTACATTTTTATAGGAGTATTCATAATTTGTAGGTTGATCAATTGCCCTGTTAAAAGCTATGGTGATCAGGCAATTCTGATTAATGTTTATTATTTCTCTTCATGCAGAGTTTCAAGAATTACTGTAACAATAAAGAAGAATGGTCTTATATATTCTCTATCGTAGTTATCCATTTTAATAGTTTTGACTGCATTCTTAACAAACCAAAATTGAAATTTAATAACACACCAATCAACAGATCTTTACACTATGTGCTCTCGTTTAGGCAAGACAGGTCTTTAATTCTCTTATGTAGTTTTCAAATGCATTTTTATTGGTAGGACCATGAATAGAATCTGATCATAATAAAAGCAAGAGAATACCCCCTCACAATAAGCCCATATATTTCTTCTTGTGATCATTACCTTAGATTTCAAAGGATTTATTTATTTAGATGTATAATAATACAAAGATATCTGTATGTCAGTAAAGGAACTAATCATGAATCTGTTGAAAAGATGACAAAATTAAAAATATATAAAATTAGGCTATTGAGGAAAAAATGTGAAACATGTTATTTTTATTATGTTATTTTTACTATGACTTTCCAAAACCATAAGCACCAGATTTCAAATAAATTGCAACAGATTTTTATCATTAATTCTTGATTATAATATTTTTGTTTTAAAGTAAATTGGAATATTACTTAGGAAGTTCAGGATCTCTTTAACCGTTATACTTATTCAGTTCAGAAAAACTGTTCCCAAACTAGTAGCCATGTCCATTTTGCAATCCAACTTAAAATTCATGCCAAATTCATAACAAGCTTGGAAAAGGATTATTTGGAAGTAGGTAAGTAAATACAAATATACTGAGTTTTCTTTAAATCTTGCTACTGCACTTTTTAAAAAGCAAGATATATAAATTATTAAAAAGAATTCCACAGTATTTGAAATGATAGGAAACCTTGGGAGTTAGCTGTGACTTTAGAATACAGAAAATGGGTGAGATCATGATTAAATTTAACCTTTGATTAAACTCATGTATTTATTGATTAATCTGAAAGAGGCTCTAAATACATATTTTTTTAAACAATGTCTCTAGTTAAAAGTCAACAGAGATTTCACAAGTTTTCTTCTTCCCGTAAAAACTGGAATACGGATGAGAAGTCTTTTTGGGCATAACCCTTGGCACACATGATCCTGTAAATCTGATGGGCTAGGGATCCAAGTGGGACTGGAGATTTGGTGTTGGTGGCAGAAATCTGGGCCAAGCCAAGATCCTAAAAATAAGGAAAATATTTTGAGTGAGAGAAGAAAAAAAAAACCATATATTTATTACAGAGTAATATATATTACTAAATATGATAGTAATATTGAGGTCCACTATTCCTTAGAAAATTATTTAAAAATGCATGAAAGGACTTAAGTTCAATATGTAGCTAGAAAAATTCCTACTAAAAAATTGAAAAGCTTGCTCATCATGGCCACTTATATATTAGATGAAATGAAATATATTGACAAAATGAAATTAGATTAGTTGGATTACTGCAATGAATTCTACGTGGGGATACTTCTGAAGACAATCAGATGTGCAACTAATCCAGAATGCAGTGGTGCATACAGTTTTTGGTACCTTGTAGTTTGTCCAAGTTATTTTCATGTGAGTTGCACTGGCCCCCGGGTGCTTTCTGCATTGAATTCAACATGCTGCTTATCATCTTTTAAACTGTATATGGCATTATTTGCCAGATTACCTTGCCTTCAGAATAATGGCACATCCTATTATGTCAGACAGAATGAATATACTCCATGTCCTTTCCCTTAATGTTAGTAGATCTGTGCCTTTTTTGTAGAAAGCCCAGCTTAGAATAGCTTCCAACCAGAGATATGTCTAGCTTTCCAGAAGGCAATGGAAACTTGAATTCGCTAGTTCTAACTATGCCATTTTATCATTTCTAGAAAAAGCTGGAATAATGAACATATCTCTGAAGGAAAGCAATGTGATTGTCAGCTTCAAGGTAAATCAGACTAGGAATCTAATGTCATGTAAGCTGATACTACTTTTATTGTAAAACTACAGTAACAGAATCTTGCAAGTTTCCCTGCCTGTCTTTATCTTTGTGAGAACCAGGGAGAGGCTTGTCTGAGATGTTTATTCGGGTTGCATTCTTACCCTTAATCCAATCCTCTTTTACTTAACTATTGTTTTGATAGAAGCTCTTCGGAAAACCAGCAGAAAATCTACAGAAGACTAGCATGACAAACTTTACTCAGTTAGATCCCATGGAATTTAAGTTAAGACTTGTAATATCAAAATGGAGTAAATTTTCTCATGTTGAATGTGTTCAGAAATTGGGTTGGTGTAATAATTGCTATGTATCATCAATATATCTGTATGTATGTGTGTGTATATCTACCTACCTACCTACCTACCTACCTACCTATCCACACAGAGATATACGTACATAATACATACACATGAAGATCCATTACCATGATCATTTTCTTTTTTTAAAAATGGTAATTTTTCAACACTCTCTAATGAGAATGAATTGCACTAAGACTGGATGTTTTCGTGTATATGAGATATACTAAGCAGAATAATGACGGGCCACAAAATATAAAGAAATAGATATTAATTCATCTTAAGTATGTCAGCATAGTGGAGAAAATTCTACATATTAACTTGAAGTTCAGAAGGAAATACTCAGAGGAAACATTTGTTTGAAAAAAGCAACTCTGTTTATTACACCAATATATATTATTTTTGTATAGATATAGATACATACCTTAGCCATAAGGGTTGTTCCAAAGCCACCTTGATAATTATTAGCAGAAGGTACCCCATCCATTACTCCTGGCACAGGGTTGTATGTATCACTTGACCAACAACGGCCTGAACTCATATTTAAGATTTTGGCCAGAAGCTTTGGGTCAAGCCCTAACCTGTCAAAGGTCAAAAGAAGAGAAGTGTTCATGTCAAAATTCACATGTCATGAATGACTTCTTTTTATATGTTGACACTATGTTGTCATTTCTCTACATTCATTGGGAGACTTGAAAAATGATCTAGAGGGATGATATTGAGAGGAAGAATCTTCTTTAAATTAAAGGTCATCAATCCTTCATACTGGTCATGCATGTTATTAGATGAATTGCCAGACACAAAATAAAGATTCTTCAGAATTAATAGCTCCCTTTGGTCATTCTATATAAGAAAATATGATTCAAAAGATATTGTCAGAAGCATAAGCTACCATATTAAGACAAAGGGAAATTCTCCCACAGTAAGCTTCCTTTTATCAAACAGTTATTATATTCAGATGTTCAAGAAATAAGTCTCTGTTACATATGTTCCCTATCTATTCAGAGACATGCATTACAGTTCTGGGTCAACTGCTGAGGTTACAGATCCTAATAAAACAAAACTTGTCCAAGCAGAAACATCATTTGTTCTATTGCTCTCACCAACTGATGGCACAAACCCCAGAGCAGTTGAAACAGACTGAAAATATAGTGAAAAATATTTCAGCAGATTAGGCTAGTCTTTTTTTAAACAATCAGGCATGACGGTGGCTATCAGCTTAACTGTGTGCAGTTTCATAAGAATTATACTCCCTATAATGAAAAGCAAGAACATTTTGAAATTGAAATATAACCAACTATACAAATGTAAACATTTTTAAAGATGGATATAAAAATAATTATAGAAAGGAAATGGTATAGGATGCAATTGAATATATAAACTTGGAGGAAAGTAAATTAATTAGGAGCTTATTTCTAAATGTACACATTTATAATTTACTTCACAAAAAAGCAATGCATTCATATCATTAATGCGATATAGTAACGAATGGAAGTTACAATGAAAACTTCTTTCACTATTATACTGCTTGCAACAAAATAATGCCTTTTTCATTTTAAAAGATGGATTTTTCAGTGACTATGTTTATAGGATGCCATATAAGAAGCAGCAAAGCTGAAACACTAGAACAATAAATTATATTACCTCTTATTCTAACAATTTATTTTTCTACCTTAAATGTACTTATTGCTTGATTTCCAATTATTCTTTCCAACAGAAAGAATATTAATTATACCTTGTTGCTATTGTTCATAATGAATGATATTGTTCATTGAATTGTTCATTTACAACAATTATCAATATAAAATATAAAGAAAGTCATGATCTATAAGCAAAAATAAACACTATGCAGAAAATTTCGGTCGTTGTCCCTATCTGTTCTGAAAAACATTCTGAAAAGAAATCACTTCTGGAATTTCTTTCAAAAGAGAGAATTTCAGTGAATTGAGTGGAACATGGTATTCTCATGTTTTTTAATGTAGTCAAAGAGTATGCTTGTATATTACTGTTCATTATAATCTAAACAGTCTGAAGCTTCCCTTGCAGGTCATTCTTCAATTAATTCCCCAAAGAAAACATTTCTTCCATTGGCCCTTTTCATATTGGAAAGCCATAGAGATGCAGTATGACAGAAAGATCTATAACAGATAATATCAACAGTAGTAGTGTTCTTCACTACTGCTATATATTTACTAAATAAAAGTCATCACGATTAAATACTTCATTAAAAAAAATCAGAGAATAAAATAGAAGTCTTTTTTGCAGAAAACTTTTCAGAAATTGCAAGACAGATATAAAAGCTCTTTATCAAATGTCAGAAGTGTTCCAGGAAATCCTTCCTTGTGTAAGAAAATTCGATGAATGAAGCACTAGATTTGGCAAAGTTTCTTCCACTTCTTCATTCTGATAAATAGAATTCTGAAAGTAATCCTTGATTATCTAAATGAATAGGAAGCATATGCTAGTCTTGATGGATATACCTTTCAAGAACACATTGAAATGGACTAGTGCATGTGAAATGCAGTCTTAAATGTTCAGTTCCAGTAACACAAAACAGATGCCAAGTTAAGGATGGATCCCACAAAAGGAGTCTTATCTTAAATGTACATAACACAATGCCTGTAAATGGCTTCCTGTTTACATTTTATTTATTTCTTTAATGTATTGACTGCCTGGTTCCAAAATGCTCTGCACTTAATAATTTATTAAACTTGTATGGCGTCAAACTTCTAATGACTCCATATCAACACAGTTCAAGGATCTCACAAAATTAGAAATATCTAGATACCCATAGTTAGATTAATGGAATATAGTTTAGCATGACTTGAATGCTAACAACAACACTTGGAGGTATCAGGATGCTTTTACTCAAGTTTGCAAGTTCAGAATTTAACTGTTTGGGCATTATATTTTTCCCCAGAAAAAAAATCTATTGTAAAAGGATTTAAGACACCAAAGACCCTTTACTGAATTTCAGGACTTAGCAACATTATTTCCAAGATCAACAAAAAAAATATATAATAGTCTGTCAATAATGCTTGTAAACTCCATATTTTTACTGATTTTTAAAGAAGGATGTAGTTCCATGACATGACCAGATCTCATGTTAAATTTGGATTTATTTTTCTGAGATTTTGTATAAGATTGAAATCTTATGAGATTTCACAGGATAGGAATCTCATGAGATTTTGTTAATTGGAGGGGGAGGAACAAAACATACCTAAACCATATGTGAAATCATGCAATATACCAATACATTCTGTGCATGGTCTAAAGTTCAGAGTACAGTGAAGCCCTCACTAGAAATATGTAGCCCTCAGCCAAACAATATCCCAGGTACACTTTTATAAGTGAGGTTAATTTACACTTGAAAATAACAAGATGATCTAGATATAGTCAATATATTTCCAATATCTGTTTCTAGAAGAAAAGGTCAAAAATAAAATCACCCAATGCAGTTTCCTTCAAGATATTCAAGACCCTTCTTCTTTTCCGTCCCCCTCCCTTTTATCTCTTGTAGCAAGTATATCATTAAAAGGAGCAAGTTGGAGATGTTTTGCATTTTATCTTTCTGAGGATTCATCTACTGGTGCGTAGATAACTGACAGCTAAAATTAGACACATATAAATCTGTTATTGCAGAAGTCCTCTGTCTTCCACTGTGCCCATAGCTGGTAATGGTTTGAAAGCAGATAGAATATACCGTAATTGCCATTCAGTAAGTCTATCCTCAAAAGTCATGCTTCAGTGGAGAAGACTGAGTTTCCATTTGAAATCAACAAATTAATCCAAGACAGGTATCTGAAAGGGCAAGCTTAATAGGAAGCAGCTACGGGGCTCTCAACCATGATAAAATGTTATTGCTGTTTCCCTGTAAATTGGTTCAGAACATAGAATACTTTCTGCATAAGAGCTCTATTCCTGTTCAAGAGATATACTGCTCAAACTATCAAAACAATGACAGTCTGTCAATCTACATAATAACTTGCCATTGGACATGGCAACAGCATGAGCATGCACACATACATTTTGCAACTGCCAAGGTATTCCACGTTTTGGCGTGAGGAGAGAGAGTCTGGAGAGAAAGTAGGAATTGGGACACAAAATCAACACTCACCTTTTAAATGCTTCACAGGACAATTTCCCCCCTCCTTTAAGCTTCATGTTTTAGTTGTAAAACGTCAAAAAGCATGAAACACCAGATAAATGCAGAAGTGACCAGGTTCAGACATTTGTGTTAGGATAAGGCTTGTTTTAATCATGGGTGGTTTAATAAGCAACAACTGGATTATTTTGAAAAGAGTTACATGGACTCATGCAATACCTTAGCCCAAATTAAACAATCTTTTAATAGGTTGTTAGCATAATGTAGGAATTTAAATATTATGATTTAAAGTACTATATGGATTATTCAATAGATTATTCAACAGAATTTAATTTTACTGTGTTTATGTCTTTATGCTAGTTACTTCATAGCAAACTTTTGATGATTAAGAGACAAATTCATACATTGGGGGCAGGAGGGAGGAGAAACAATGAAGGTAACCATAGTGAAAATTGAATATATCACATATAAATGGGCAGGTCTACAATTTTCTTTTTTTATATATTTTTGAAGGAGATAGGAAATTCTATTTTCTGTGTTTGTTCAAATTTTCTACTTTAGACATGTCCTATCTCAAAATGATGGAAGCAATATCAAAACAATGAATTAAAAATTTTATTGTAAACTGCCCAAAATTTAGATAAGACAGGCAGTATAGAAATGTGGTGGATGGATGGATGGATAGATGGATGGATAGACAAACAGAGATAATAGATAGATTAAACATATATTATTTACAATGCCATCCACCTGAAGTGCAGGCCAGCCACAGTAAAGAACTAAACAGTAGTAAAAATCACATTAAAAAGAATAAGATTAATATATACTAATATATTTATAATATCAGTGAAAATACTAAAAAAATTATCATAGGCAATGGTAAAGGTATTTTCTTATTTTACACAAATTTTTAGTACAATAAGACAGATCATAATTCAAACTATTTATATATACTTATACACCTTAATTTCTGCCAGACATGAGCAGCAGAAAATACGTTGGAGTATCGTAGAAGGTTCACAGAATTATAAAAGAAACCATGCTAAATAAAGATTCATGGTTAACTATAAACAGGAAGTTGGACTGCTTAAACAGTATATCTGTATACTGTATATCTGAGAATCTCTTTCTGTTTGTTGGAAAATAAAATGGCCACTGGGGTCCACTTCTGCAAGTGTAGCCCTATATAGGGTGTACTACAGTAGTTCAAATTGAGGAGGATCAGAGGATGAATGATTGAAGAGCTTCCTGACCCAGGAAAGTTTGCAGCTTGCACACACACAAAGTAGAGCAAAGGCCCTCCTAGCCATGATTGCTTGAGGAGGATTTCCAGATTATACACTGTATGTATCTGGGGCATCCAAGACCAAAGAGAAGAACCCCAAATGACAAAAGTCCGCTACCCACAGCCTTTCTATCTCAACCTGGGTTCAGTTGGAGCCTGTTCCCCATCTAGAGCAATACTGTCTCCAAGCA